ATAAAGTAGAATAGATCTGAAAGACTGTTGATTGATTGATTGATTGCATGATTGATTGATTGATGATTGAAAAGTTAAAAAATCACATGCGTTGTATTTTGTCACTATTTTTTTTGTTTATTTTATTATGAAAGTTCAGTTGACCATGAAAAGCATGATCTAGACGACAGTAAACACCATCCTAAAAATTTCCTGCCTTTTTACTCATTTTTCTATTTCAAGAAAATACTTTCAAGTATTTCTCTCTATAAATAACTGCTATTCTTGATCATTTCACGAGTTATTCATCAATTTTGTACGATATTTAAAAACTTTAAGCAATTTCTTGCCAGGAATTTTTTGAATATTCGAGAAAGAGCAAGGAAAAAATTCAAAAAAAAACTAAGCATTTATAATAAATTAGTCAAAATAAAACTTGAGAATTTTTCGTTTGGACCAGGAAATTGATTTCAAATTGATTAAAAAGTGTTTTCTTTTAATAATGGTCATTTTGATATAAAATAATTATGATTTTTTTCATTTTGTTATTAAAATAACATCAAGTATATATGCTATAGATTACTTTTAAGAAAAATTATTCCTGAGTGAAAGCACATCAAATACTCATAGTCTATGAGAAATAATGAACGGTAAAACGTAAAGGTGCAAATATGTTTTTTTGCTCTGTAAATAATATAGGTATTAAACGGAAGAACTGGTCAACTTAAATACAACTCACGTACGTAGGATAAACTCTGATTTAAACAAAAAGAAGTTAATTCTAGTAAGGTGAGGTAGGCATTTGTCCGGAAGAAAGAGCAAATCAAGTAGGATGGGAACCGGAAACAAATGTAGTAGAGGTCATCCAAAAATGAGAGATTCTCGGACACATTCATTGCTTCTTTTTACACTATACTTTTCGCATAATGGTGAGAGCAAGAGATTCTCTTTGCAACCTTTTCAGTTTCCCTTCCGCTGTAAATAACATTATTGTGCAGTGAATTACGCATTTTCTTTTCTAAAATATTCATTCATCTGAATTTTTGACGCTATTTGAAAGCAATTCTTTACCTCTTAGGAAATATTTTGCTAAGTATTCAAAAATAAAGATCAAATTGGACGATTCTTTTAACAAATTGCTTCTCAACAGCATCATACACATTTACTCATTTATTAGCAAAAAAATCTTCCTCAACTTCTTGCCTTTCCACTTAAAAACATAAATATTTACTTAAGAATATTTATTTATTTACGAGGAAAGACAAAAAATTAAACGCATTCATATCACCTAAAGTAAATTTTTTTTGAGTGAAAAAATGACACAAGAAAAAATTTCATAGCAAATGTTCTAAAATATTTAAGTGTATTAATTTTTGACTACAATCAGTGCTTTTTGCTTTAAAAGTTATAAATAAATTCCAATAAATACTCATTAAATTCATGAGTATTTCTTTGAATTTACTCGAGGAGATGTTACTAATACAAATATGGTGTTGTGTGAGGAATTAAATCTAGCAGTACACTGACGTTTTTGAATATTGCAGAAAATGCAGTAATTAAAGACAAGTTTCAAATAGTATCATCTATTAAAACATTAATCTTTACTGCTCAATGACAATTTAATTGCTCCGTTGCATACTGAAATTCAAGACGATTTTTCATTATTTAATCAGTAAGATCTTTTATCATTTATCAAATGTCATAGTTCTTAATTTTTTGTACATAAGCTTCCTCTTTACTGTTAAAAAAATTAAAAGCTGGAAAAATCAGCAATTGATTCTAAACAGTATCGCCTAAATAGTTTCATAATTAGCAAAACAATACCAAATTGCTTTAAACGATTTTTGCACCAAAATAGCATGGCATATGACGAAGTAAATAACAGTTATGACGGAGCAGCTGTCCTTGAAAAGACTAGCATTTACTCATTCTTTTGCAAATTAGCGATTTGTTAATTCTTTCACACAAACTGTATGACCTCAAACTAACGGATATTGAACAACAGATAAAAAAGGTCATAATCGAGCTGAATTATGCATTATAAAGATGGATAGAGATATATAGGTTATTAAATGCTTTGTCTTAAATCTTACTTATATTATTACCAAGATGAATTTGCATATACAGTAACACATATCATCTACTTAAAGCACAGTTTAGCTCATTTAACACTCATTCAATTTCATAGTGTGTTGTTGAATCAAACGCAGTGAGTTATGACAATGATCTTTGGTAGCATATTTACCATTAGAAATTATATCAGTTTTCCTCGTTCTGCATGATTTCAAATATGTGTCATATAAATCTGATTTTTCTGCTTTTGTTAACTGTCGAGTTTTTTCCAGAAAGTCACAATAACAGACTGTTTGCGCGCTATGAAAGTATTTCTTACGTTGGCCATCATTCTAATTATCTTAGCAAGTATTAAGGAAGTAATTTAGTTTTGAAATATATTTTTAGCTATTTGAGCAAAAAAGTTGCTTTTTGCTTTCTAATTTTTTAGTGCATTAGAAATGCTTTGACTGTGATAAGAGTATTCATGTTAAAATGCTATTTGTATCATAACAATAACCTAGACAATTTTTAACCTGTAATTAATGATTCTTATTGCTCTGAAATGATAATCAGATGCAAAAAAAGCGAAAACTTTTAAAGATGAAGTGGCTTACACCAGAATGCGCATATAAATGCCGATTATATCGATCATGCATGCGAAACGAATCCAAATATTGTGATCGTGCTTCTTGCAAATGCATTTTTATAAACTGGGATTGGGACTAAAGTTCTAATAAAATTGACAGTTAATCCATTTTTCTAATTACATTTTTAAGTTCTTCGATTATGGAAGAATTAATATTACTGTTTGTCAATCGTAGAAAATTAATTCAATTATGTATGTTTAGCTTCATTTATTGAACAAATTACTAAACAGTTGAAAATTATTAATAGTTTATAATGTCAATTATTGTCATATATTTGAAGAACTATTCATGATGAGAGTATAAATAAATACGTTTAGTTCCAAATATATAGCAAAAGAATTAAAATGACAAGCATGAATGTTCATTCAAGCATTAAAAGATGTGTTAGCATTGTAATACATTATTAGAAATAAACAGTTGCTAGAAAACTTACTTTTATTACAAAATGATTTGAATAGAAAAGAAAAAATTTGAAGAGAGTTTTATTTTCTTCTTATTTGGAAGTTATTGAACTTTCAGGATAACAATTCGAATACTTAGTCAATGTTTACACACACATTAATATGACATTTTGGCGGATTACTTTGAGAAAAGAATGACATAACAAAACTTTAAAAAAGTCTAAAAATAAAATTACGAGCATGAAAATGAATGTCAACTCTTAACTTCATGCAAAATATTACGTAATTGTAAAAGTTCCAAAAGTATTGCTATTTTGGTTAGTTTTATCCAGATAAGTCTGAAAAAAATAGATTTGAGTGTTTTTGTTGAGGCATAGATTGAACGGGTCAATAACGATCTCCTTAGATAATGTTTGACACATATTACTTTAAATTTCCAGTAAAATTCAATGCAAAGAAAAATTTTGAGAGCTAAAGGAATAATAATTATGTGAATTTGTCTTGCACTTAGAATCATTAAAACTTTACATTTCTTTCAAATTTTAACGATTTTAAATTTGCAATTTTAAATCAATTAGTTCACCATGCAATATATAATTTGCTTTATGGATTATAAATTTAAAACTGCTAATACACTTTCCAAAGATCAAAATTAGAGCAATTTTGACGACAGCTTCATTTACAAATAAACTAACTTCAGCTAAACATAATCAAACATATTTCTGGCAAATAGTTTTAATTCCTCAAAAAATATTTAATTATAAATGTGTTGAAAAAATAAACAGGACAAAAAACGATGCATTCTAGGTTTCTGATCTCTTTTAGCAACATGAAATATGGATTATTCACCGACTTTTTATAAAAATAATTCGTTGTATAATAAATGCGCAAGCATAAAGTAGAATTCAAATAAATTTTATAAAAGTTCAAATATTCAAAACCAGAAGTTGCATTTGTTTGTTCTTAAAAGTTAGCAAAAGTTGCTTCACTAAATCAAGCTTCATCCCATTGAAAGTTTATGGACTTCTGATGAAAACGCAGAAGTCCTAATGCTTGTCACTTATTTTAGATGTCTATCAGTTACTCTTTATATCACCAACTTTATCAGCATTTAACGAAATACTTAATGTTAGATAATGAATATACTAAAGAATAATTTTTTAAAGCATTTAGAAAGCAAACAGAAAATGATAAAAAATCATACCATTTTGCAATAAGTCATTCTGAAGCAGGTAGTAGCTTAAATGTTACTTACAAGCCTCGAAAAGTAACACTTAATTGCTTGAAAAAATCGTTGCCAAACTTTTTGGTAAATTTTAGTACCGAATTTTAAACTTCAATACTATCAGTTTCGTTTGCATAAGACTTGAAGTAAATTTCTTTCGATGTATCATTATAAAAAATTTTAATAAATTTTCATTAGTCTATTATAACCTACAATTTTTTTGAAAATTATCCAGCAAAATGTTATCAAATCTATACGAAATTTTCGCCTTCAGTTTTGAGCTAAAGTAATCCATATTAAATTTGAAATTCTTGGCTGATCAGAAGCTTCAGATGCTTTTAACAAAGAATACAGCGATAACAGGAATTTCAAATATCACTTCAGATAATTAAAATTTTCACTAGTCCATGTTTTGAATTCATAAAGCAGTAATTGCTAATGTTTTATAACGCATTAGTAATTTTTAATTTTTGATTTATAAAAGATATGACGATGCTTTTCAGCAACTTTTTTGTTTGCAATAGGATTGCACCTTTGAATTCTGAAAACTTGGTAGGTGAGTTAAAACAACTAAGTAATTATTATATTTATGATAAATTAATTACTGCTTCATTTATTCAATAATTATAACAGTTATCATTGCTAATACAAAATGAATTGCGATCGGAATAATTCCGGAAGATTACATGAAAATCAGTCGATGGGGCGCAAAGTAATCTGTAAATGAAGTTCATTATTTACAACCAGCAGTGAGTTATCGCCAAGTAATTCGATGAGGTCAAGTTCCTTCTGAATTTCAATATCGGTACTGTATCTATAAAAAAAAGCTGGAAATTATTAGTACAAGAGAAGGAAATGAATAAAATTGATAAAATATCTAAAAAATTATGACTTGAATACGCAATATATCACTGATACTAATAAAGAACAATGGTGCAATAACAAAGAAAACTATTGCTAGTAAGTGCAATCAAACAAACCTAGCTTTTGAGAAATTCTTCTTGCAAGTGAATGATCGCAACACCTGCTTGTCATTTATGATCTGTATCAGATATTCAATACAACGTGGCTGGTCAATATCATCTGCTATCAAGTAAATTCTGACTTTATCTCGTGAATTCATCAGCAGTTGAGATCCCATTTTTAATTTCCAATTCCATGGTGTCATTGGATATGTTGATGAACGAGTTGTTAGCTAAAAAATTAGGCAAATAAGCATATTATTTTCTGCAAATTTTTTTGAAATTTATCAATGAGAGATAAATTAGCTTAATAATAAAGTCATTTCTATGTCTTTATTTTTGATGATTTCTTAATCAAAGCAAGTCATTACTTGTTAACTTGGAAGTGATACTACAAGTAAGAAAAATGTTGTCAGATTCTATTTAGTGTATCTGTGTACTTCTATACATTTTATCCTTCTGCATTTTTTTCGCTTTAAATTATGAGCAGCTTATTAAACCAAAATTAAGAAACGAAGATATTCATGAAACTAACATTATAGATGTAACTGGTTACTTTCTCATAAACCAAATCGCTAACTGGAATAGTAACACGCTTATCCCACCTAACGTCAGTATAGTTTCGAAGGATAAATTGAGATCCACTGAATTCTCTGAACAAAAATGTATATATTTTAGTTATATATATAATATAATATAATATAAATAGTGACCTTTCCATTGAAATAAGCGAATAACTTTTTTTTCAAGCATATGTCATTTATGGTTCAATGTAAAATGATTTTGATTCACCTTAATTGAAATATTCAAGAATCGCGAATGATATACTGGATTTTAAACTTGTCATAAATAACTAACTTGCAGTTAGCTCTGCTTGCTAAAGAAAGGGCTTGAAACTTGTAAGCAAGCAAAATTTGTGGTTGGAATAGTTCCTGATGTGATTCAACGAGAGGCGATCGTTCAACCAATATCAGTTCTTCTGCTGTCATGAATGAAAATCTTAAATTACAAAGTTTTATTTTAAGTGAGTTAAATTGTCAAATTTATTAACCACTAATAGTAATTATATAATTTTGATCATGTCAGTTTTTTAATAATTTTTGTTGTTCTTATGATTCATTGACTTTTGCAGCAGCGATATTCTCTTGATAGAGCTCATATTTTAAATCAAAACTTCATTCAACAATTCCATGATCAATTTTTGATTAGCGCTTTCAACTGAATTAATTAATTAATGAGATGAAAATTGTGTCAAAGTAAAATGCAAAAATTGATCATAATAACACGTCTATTCTTCAAAATTGTTCTGAAATTTACGATCATTTTTAATTCAGTGCTTTTCTTGAGTTGTAATAACAACAAAATTTTAAAAAAAGTCACGTGGAGATTAATACTAATTAGCATTCACAAATCAGCTGCATTTTTTTTGTGGATCACAATAATTTTGCATGTTCACAATAGCCAAAGGTGTATCACAGATATGCTTGAGCAGTTTTCAAAACTCACTTGATTAATGGTAAAATAGCAGCCAAAAGTGCTGAAATATCACTCCCATTTCTTTCAGGATGAGATGGTGCCATCAACCATTTGTGTATAGCCTTCCATAAACCAAATTCATCTGAATATTGATAGCAGTTTTTCAAAATGAACAAAGTAATGGTAGTAATTCATTTATTATTGGTCATATACATTATTATGTATGCATTACATAAATTTATATTTTCTAAAGTTACTTTAGAGCATTTGATCAGTAGTTATAATGCTAATTACTCTAGTTACTATAGGCAGTACATTATAATCGTCACTTTCAAAAATTGAGCGACTTTTTAAAACCTAAATTTTGATACAGTCAAGAATATAAATAAGTAGATAAGTGCTAAAGGTGCAAGAATTACTTGGCAAAACAAGATCATTTGATTTGAGTAGTTCAATGAGTTGATCTTGATCCATTGATAACCATTCTTTTTCCCATTCCTCGCTCATTATCATATCTTCGAAATGCCATGCCAGTACTTTGATACATGCCCTCATCAATCGCTGAAATAAAAATTTTACTAATAACTTCAGTTATTCATATTAAAAATTATCTAGAATAAAATACTGTACAAATGAAACAAGAGGAAAAATTAATGAAATCTACACCTCATGATATGTTTTAGTTGCATATGAAAACCATACGTGGAATAAATCCTTCATGGATAAATCCGGTAAAATTTTATTTATTGCGTAATCAATGCATGCCTAAACAAATTTCTACTACATTTAGACTACAAATAAAAAATAAATAGTAAGCATACAGTAACGTTAGTTTCTCATAAAATGACACTATCGCAAAAATAATGGAAAGAGCTTTATTATCATTGCTTTTTGTATTGTATAGTAAGCAATGCATAATTTTAATTTATAACTATTTATATTAATCAGCACCTGTACTGACATACTAGCATAGCATTTTGAAAGTTACTTAGTAAAATATTCATTATGCAATTCAAACTCAAAATTATTTCGCACAATATTTCAGTGCAAAAAGTAAATAAGTTTAGAAATTTGATAAAAACTTGGAAAAAAAATTGCTGTGTGTAAACGGAAAGTTTGGACATATTTTGAAAAAAGCTACAATTTATTATTACTAATAAAAACTGCAACAGTGAGAGTAATGTTTTATTTTATGAATGAAAAAAGTAAGAAAAAATTAGGTCATTAGTAGACCACAAATGATACATTTCTCAAACTGGTAACATTGTATTTATCAGCGAGAATCAATAATGGTAGCGCATTTTCAGCTTGTAAAAATATATGATTGCAGTAGAGAAAACGTAAAAATGCGTCAAATGCTTGCTGACAAGCCGGCTCTTCGATCAGTTCCAGTTCCTACAATACTTGAATAATGAACATATCTATAATATACAAATGGTAATATTTTTGTGAATGTAATAATTTTCACGAAAATTGTCTGTTGCGTTTAGAGTGCACAAGGTTTTGATCGACGATAACTTACGTTTTTTAATTAGTTGATATTTATGATATGGTGAAAAAGCAAAAACATAAAATACAGTAAAGTATTTTTTGTATGAAAGTAATCAATGCGTTTTTTATTAATTTAGAAGTTTTAAATTTTGTAAAAACAGCTTTATGAGTAAATAAAGTGATTTTATTACTGATCAATACATTTTCAGTTATTATTTCTAAAATTTAGTTTCAATGAAACCTGCCTTTTTTTCGGTCAACAAAAAAGCTAAATTTTAAGAAGGCATAAAAAAAAGTTTTTGCAAAAAACACATATAAAATTTGTAAAGTTTAAAGGAACCTTCTTATCACCGTTCCACTTTTCACTCAACATCTGAGCAAATACATCGCTATTTTTCGCTAATATTATTCGATGTGCAGCAAAACTATAAGTCTAATCAAACATGTACATTCAAAATATTATTTAACGAAACGTTGTTTTACAGATATTGAGATTGTTGACCAAAAATTATATCATTTAAAAGTCTGAAGCTTTATGAGCAAGAAAGATATTATGTTATGATCGGTAATTTTTAGAGCGTATCTTTTACAGCTTAGAAAGTATCTCTTCTATCTATGCAACTGTTCTGAATACAGTATATAATGTGGTATTTTTCAAAAAAAGTTAAAAGATTAATTAAAAGAGATAACCCAAAATTTTTAGCGGTAAAAAATCACTAGAAAAAAGTTAGTATTAAATATAAATAGGGCAAAACAAACATTTTGTCGCCTACTGAAATAGATATATCACTTAGAAATGTGTTGTTATAATATTTAGCGAAATCATTCAGTGCTTCACGATCGTTTGCAAAGCAATCCATTTCTGAAATTGAAGTTATAAGTTTTTGATTAATTTTTTTAAGAAAATCAAATCCATACATACTATATTGATAAATTTACATAAAATCAAATAGCTTGAAGTTATTTCAAATATCTTATTTTGATTATCATGGCTCAAAAATTTGATTGTATAAAGTTTAAAGATTAAGCTGATTGGATGAGAAAGTGCAAACTACTCAATTTTCATCCTTAATAATTATTTAATAAATTAAGACTTAATAGTAATACTTAATAAGCATTAACACAATGGTTGAATAGCAAAGTTTATTTATTTTATCAACTGATATTTATTTTGCTATTAATCACTGAGTTAGATAAAAAGCATAATTTATAATATACAACGCCAAATTTCAAATCTAATTGTGCTTAATTCTATAAAGTGTAAGTTTAATGTATGAATCAGTTTGAAACTGAAAAATAAACACGTGATATATTATGTATTTTGTTATCAAATTTTTCCGTTAAAAAGATGTAAACATTTGTGCACATTTTCGAATAAAATTTGGATCTTTTCCCCTCTAAAATCGTTTAATTTTTTTCATAGAAAAAAAAAATTCGTACCTAATTTTCGAAAACCATTTTTTTGCATTATAAATTGTAACATCTGGTCAAATTTTTAGAAAAACTGCTGATATTTTAGTCTGTTTTCTGTTCTCTCACAATTGTCAACAAAATTATTATGACAAAGCAAATTATCAAATTTATTGCAAACAAATAAGCAAAGAAAGGATAATGAGAACAAAAATGGGCAATAAGTATTTTTCAAATCTTAAAAACTGATATCTGATAAAAACTACTGAATTAACACTAAACCTATCGATATGCATTGAATGAAATCTAAATCAAAATAAAATACATTCTGTAAATTTCAAATTAATTTTAAATAATAACACAAAAAATTCAAGAAAATGAGTAAAAACAAGTATTTAAATTTATAATCTATAAATTACATCAGATAAATTTGACTGCAAGATAATATATAAATTTAATTCGTAGCTATTGCTTAGCAGTTAATTATATGAATAATAAGTTTATTGAGTTAAATTCTTTTTATAACTCATAGTGAAAAAATGTTGAGTTTTTCAGTATTCATTCCTACAATATTTTGGATCACATTCTTATTTTTATCTGTCAGTAAGTGATAGCTGATATATTTGTTACACAAACATTTTTGTAATATATCTGAAACATGCTTAAGTAGAAATAATTTTAATTTGTGTACAAAACTGACACCACTGCTTAACGTTTTAAGCTTTTTGAATCTAAGCCAAAAAGTGAAAAGTAATCTGTGCCTCAGATTATATTTTTATTTGCAATAACACAATTATTTTTTTAGTGAGCATAAAAGTGTATCACAGTGAAAAGCTTTTCGATTGCATTTTAGCAGAAAAATTAAGAAAACAATTCTGACATTCAGTTGTGCAACAAATAATTATGCTTGAAAGTAAAGTGAAAATCTAAAATGATTATTTTACAAAAGATAAGAAGTAGACCACTCAGACAATCATAGTTTAACTTTAAATTAGTACAGTTGTTTGAAATAACAGCTTGTCAAATAGTAAGTATATGAGAACTTATTTGCAACAAATTGTTCAAACAACACTGTCAACTATCAAACAAAACTAAGTTATCAGTAAAATATAGAAGAGATTAGTGTTTTTGATTTTCATCTTCAGAATAAATTTATGATATGTTTTTTTATGCAGCAAATATTTTAAAAATTAAGCAAGATATTTAGTAGCATTGAATTGAAATATAATGAAAGGAGAATTTAATAAAGAAGTTCGAAGATTTGTTTGAAAACTTTTAAAACATCAATCACATGAACAAGTAGTACTCATGCATAATATTCCGGAATAAGAATAAATGTTTTTTATCCAAAATCAATAATATAATACTTTGATTTTCTGAATTCAATATAATTATCATTAATACTGATAATATTTCGTTTCGTAAGCAAAAACTAGCACTACAAAATTTTTTAA